ATTATAAAATAATGTAAACAACCTATACAAATAATTTTATACTATAATTTCAAACAAATGAACAATTATTATTATTACTACTTGCTAATGGGAAGAGAATCTTAGAATATAAAATTTGAAACCTAAGTGAGGTCCGACATATAGATAATTGGAGTTAGCAAAGATATCGTCATGTTTTAGCATATAAATCTACGAATTCAAATTTTACTAAGTTTACAAATATAAAGGAAGTATTTTATTTATCCTTTAAAAATATCTCAGAAATATATTAAAAAATCTAAGAAATCACCGCACAAATTCATATTCCGTATCTCAACCATATTACGATTCCGTATCTTAATTTTTCAACAAATTATTCTCTCTCTTGTAATTTTCAATTCTCCATTCTGTCCTTGGCTTTGCCCTTCCATTATCCTTTTATTCACCTCTCTTTCAATTATCGTCTTATTTCAATAATATTCTCATTTCTCCCTTCAGAAACCAACATTTCTATCAAATTGTTCTTGGTTGAATACACGCGGTGGTGATCGTCGAAAGTATCTTTGTAACGACTATACTGTTTTCCCCGACCCGGAAAATGACCATGGACCGAACTCTACAATCGGAGAGCATGAGATCGACGCACGTACTGTCGATCGAGTGTCTAAAAGGGAGCTCCAAGGCCGACGAATGGGCCGGAGACATGCTCCAGACCGGCGATATTGTTGAGGAGATTCGTATTGGTTCTGGCTCAGGATTGACTCATAGGGAACCTTTTAAAGGCGGCAGGAGCGGAGTCCAGAGGATCCTTCACAGCTCCTTTAAGAACAAGGAGACCTCCATCCTCGTCCGAGTCAGGCGAAGCAACGATGAGTTCGCTCAGCTGCAAGCGTGTATCGTGCCTAACGAGTTTGCCGGAAAAAAAGTACATGTTGAGGTCTATAGCGGATCCCAATTACGCTGTCGGCTTCTTGGATCGCACCGAGTGCGAGTGCTTCGACTTGCAAGGTGAGTTGGTTCTCTTTTGACTATTTTTTCTCCTCCGAGTTGGCCCGTGGCCTACTCGAGTGCCGATTTTTTTTCTTTTTGTTTGCACTTTAGACTTTTCGATCTTATCGCTTTGATTCTCCCGCGTTCTATTAAGTACTGAATATCTGTGTTAGACACGTGTAATAATAATTTATTTTTCTAATATCTTTACTATATTTTATTATATATTTACTAAATAAAATACTCTTTAGTTTTATTTCAAAAAAATTCTGCGATTAAATTAAAATGGTATATGAATAAACGCCGCCTCTTAATATAGAAATGGTTCTGTAGAAAAAGTTTGAAGAGTTAGTTTGCAATTGCTTGTAAAAAATGTTAGGGTTAAAGAATGTGTTTAAATGATAAAATGAAATGAATATTTGAAGAATTTATTAGTATATATTGATGTGAAAAATGTGTTATTTAAACTAAAATGTCAAAAACAATATGCATAAAATTATACTAATTTCACTATCTGAAAATAACAGAATTGTTTATATTTAAAATTCTTTTAAATAGTAAAAGCATCATTAAAAGTCAACTTTTATTGGGGGTGGTGTATCTGTCAATATTCTCAAAGAACATGTTTTTAACAATGTGATGTTTGTATTCTTGTGTTAATTGACCTAAATCTTGCCTTTTGCTTGATTACAGCCATTAATGCTCAGCTACTTTTGAAAGCTAGCTTTTATTTTCATACCTGTTTTGTTTTCCATGTGTGGGCTCTAGTGTTCAGACTAGAAAGTATACCAGCTTGTAAAAAGTTTGCTCCCAGCACCAAATGATAAATTATTCTATCTTGGGTTTTGTAAACCATTGTTCAATGGTTATTTAGGGACTTTAACTTACATGTTCGAAAATGGATTTTATAAAAAAGTTTCTTGTTGGCTTAGAATTTCATAATTTGAAACGGTGAGCATAAATTGTTGGCTTAGAATTTATGTTAGGTGTGCGAATTTAAGAAGTTCTATTAGAAATTTAAGAGGTGCAAAATTATAAAATTTCAGGATATGAGATTAGATAATCAATAAAAAATATAAGGAAAATACTTAAATTAATGGAAATTTCAGTCCATACATCCCTGTTTATGGATTCGGTGAAAGCCTTAGTGACTCAACTTTGGGATGGATTATGTATTTTGGTAGTCACAAACTATGTTATCCGTGCGTGAGCATCACTCCTTAAAGTGATTACAAGTTAGTCTAATCAACCCTTCAATCCTTAAGCGGTAAGAATAGCCTTCATCTTTGTCCCTTCACAGAATTTTTTTGGTACGAATCTCAACTGGCATCAATGGTGTAAACGACATTTGCAATCCTAGTGTACGAACATGAATGTAACATACGAAATATGTTTGTATAAGTATTAAATAAGCATACATTGTCCTTGCTTAATGCTACTTAAAGGTCACTGTTCTCTACTTGTCCAACATTGTGTTGCTGGATTTATACTTTTTAATTGAATAATTAACTCAATTGTCTGTTTGAGTAGATAAATGGAGTGTTGACGATCATTTCTCTTTAACCCCATTTGGTGCTTGGTAATTGGTATGCTATCTCTGCATAGTTCTCCATAAGTAAATGTTCTGCACTGACCATTAACTTGTTGAAAATAGAAGTTTGAATCTTTTCATTCCCCCCCCCCCCCAAGTTTCTAATTCGATGTTAAACAATGAGTTTGCAGCTTCAAGGAGCTCCAGGATGGTCAGTGAACTAGAAAGGACAAGGCTTCAGGATGGATATGTCTCATATCCATGGGAAAGGAGGATGCAGGAGATGCTATCAGTTCCCAACTCAAGCAGCTTTCTTTCCATTCTCCTCCTTCCTAAGGCTTCAGATCGAATGGCCTCTCGATACAATGACTTAGAGGATACCCTTGCTCGAGCAAATTCTTGGCTTACTGCATCTCAGGCCTCTGGGGTTCCCATTGTTTTCATGAATATCCAGACTGAATCCTTGCTCACTAAGGTACAATGCCAAAGCCTTAATCCTTTAGAAGCAGTAGTGACTTGAATCTTCAATCAAAGTACTGATGTTAGCTATCGACGATTTAAATTTTAAACACTTGGACAGGCTAAATTTTAAGGCAATTTTCTTATATGAACCCTTAAGACACCAGCTTCTCAGGTTGACCAGTTAGGCAAGCTGGTTCATGTTCATCTGATCACTCGAACTGATTTTTCTACAATTTTTTGAGCAGATCTCTGGGGAAACAGCCTCAGCTACTGTGAATGCTGGGTCATTATCTGATTTATCGAACCTTGCCAATGCAAGTCTATATGGTTTTGAGGACTATCATGGGGTTGACATTGGAGTCGTGAGAGCAGTCCGTCTATGGTATGCCCCTCTTGTGGAAGAAATTGCAATCGAGATCAAACTAAAAGAAGATGACATAAAGCTCGGGTTCGCCATTAGCCGCACAGAAGAGGTATGTCATCTGATTCTCCATGATGATCTCTGGGTCGGCATTTGTTTATATATTTATCTTCTCTCTAATAACAGGGATTCATCTACATATCATCTGTCATTGATGGTGATGAAAACGTGCCCTCGACGAGATCTGGACTCAGCACTCTCTACAAAGAAGCACTGAACGCATCCAGGCTGCTGGTTGTCTCAAGATTATCAAACCAGAAGGTTCTTCCATGGATGGTTTCCTCAACCGGAGCTGTTCGATGCTTTGATACTGTCTCCCTAAGTCAAAAGCTCTCACTACACCGGCATGCTAATGTGCCGATTCAAATGCACGTCTTCTTGTGGTATCAATCGTTGGTTTCCCGAGGTTTTAGCACTGCCAGGCTGTGGGTTCCCTCTTCATCAACTTTACCATTGTCCCCAGAAATTAGATTAACCCACCAACCTAACGACAACCAAGTCTTGCCCCTGCCACCAGATGAACCAAATGAAAGCATACCCTCGAGCGAGCAGCCGGGCCGCCGTTTGCAGCGAGACACTGCCGGCGAAGTCTCCTTCAGATTTCATGATTTTTCACTTCCTAACAACTGGGTATGATTTTGCATTTCCTGCTTCTGTGTATATAACAACTTTTACAGGTAGAAGAGTTCATTGATCGGATCTAGTTACATAATGATAGGCAGCTTGATCTTGAATGAAAATCCAGAATAAACACAGAGATATATATAGTTCAGAATTCAGGCACCGTTGTTAGAAACAGATTGATGGTTTATACATACATATATATATATATATATATATGTCTGTTTGGTTTGTGTATCATACAGGAGCTTCGGGCATTGAGTGGCCATTTTGTATGTTTTGCTATTTTGAACTACTACATTCTGCATGTTTTGTTTTTCATTTCCTTATTGTAATATTAACAAATTTCTGTTTATGTGAAATAAAAATATTATGACAAAAGAGGAAAACAAATAAATCAGATTTTAGTGTTACCATCGTTTTTATCATATAATTTTCCAAATTACTTTAAAATTTTAAAACATCTCCCAAGGAAAATTTCAACCGAATTTCCCTTTAATTGTTCCAAAATTTAAAATGTAAAATTTATGGAATGAACTAATACCTTATACGAAAATATCATAAAAAATAAATAAAAACATGATGTCTATGAGCATAATTTAAATATATAATTGTATTAAAATTTATAAACTAATTACTATCATGTAAAATATTAAGTAAATTAAGAATATTCTAAACACGTGAGAAAAATATTACGAACATAATATAAATTATATATTTTTTCTTTAAATCAATCAAAATAATGTATAGTACAAAATACGAGATGACTTAGTGTGGGGACTCTCGGTCACCATAATCTATGGGACTTCGGCAAACACATATTGTTGGTGATTCGCATTGCACACGGATTGCTGACTTGGGAAACGATTCAAAACCGTCGATCTATAGTTGGAATAATATAATCGCATCGTCCGTATCTAGTCATTCGAAAATTTCAAAGTTCCCGCGTGCTCCCCCCCCCCCCTTCTATCAATTTTCTCGGTATAAATAACTCGCAGGTTGCATATCCATTCTCACCCTTCGCTCTCAATCGAATCAACAGTTTACACTACCTTTCTCTCCAAACAAATCCTTCATTTTCTGCTTCTTCGAAGCCTGAGTAATCAATGGCGCGTACCAAGCAAACAGCCAGGAAGTCGACCGGAGGCAAGGCGCCACGTAAGCAGCTGGCGACGAAAGCCGCAAGGAAGTCGGCTCCGGCCACCGGAGGAGTGAAGAAGCCTCACCGATTCAGGCCTGGAACGGTGGCTTTGAGAGAGATCAGGAAGTACCAGAAGAGCACGGAGCTGTTGATTCGGAAGCTTCCGTTCCAGAGGCTGGTGAGGGAGATCGCTCAGGATTTCAAGACGGATCTGAGGTTCCAAAGCAGCGCAGTCGCCGCTCTCCAAGAAGCCGCTGAAGCTTATCTTGTTGGGCTCTTTGAAGATACCAATCTATGCGCCATTCACGCGAAAAGGGTTACTATTATGCCTAAGGATATTCAGCTTGCTAGGAGGATCAGGGGAGAGAGAGCTTAATCTTGTATTTACTCTCTGTTTTATATCTGTTCCGGTTTTAGTGTTTCTCTAAAAAAGGAATGAATGATGAAATTAATTTGGGAAATCTAATCAGACTGATTGCATAGTTTGTCATGGTTATGATTCTATTGCTGAATTTGAGATTTGGCTTTCTCATTTATTCTTTCAATTTTGCGTATTAAAACAGTTCTGGATTCATTTCAAAGCTACCGGGTATCAAGTTCATCGTCTAACAACATTTTAGTCTTGAAATATTAGTTAATCCAACAGGGCCTGCCACAAATATTTTTACATGGGAAAATAATTTTTGAAAATATTTCAATGTAAACAACTTGTTTTTATGAATGGAGAGTGGTTTGTGGAAAATGTTTAAGGATATAGTTTAATTTAAGATTAAGAAAAAACACCTCTGATAATGTTTAAAAAAAGTTTAATATTTTTGGTTGTGCGTAACTTAAAATGTTAAATATTTTTGTCTGTATATTTTCTTACAATATTTTCGGTTTAATAAAAAATATTAGAAAAATAATATTTTAGGTTTTGTTCAATTAAAAATATTAAAATTCTTTTTAATATAAGAGAACTATCCTTTGTATTTTAGTATAAAACTAATTGATAATATTACTTTTAATAAATCATTTTTAAAATACAATAGTATTTTAAAGATGTGAGATTAAATTATTTATCTATAGTTTATTTTATTTAATTTAAAGTATAGTTTTAAGTTCAATATAATTTTTAGTGGATCATAGTTAAATTTATTAAAATAGATTAAACTTATATTATCTAAAAAATTTAATATAATAATAAATTCAATATGCACTGAATTAGATGATAATTAATTTTATTGAATGTGATTTTAAGTTTATTATAAAGTTTTAAAAAGAAAAAAATGTCTTTCCATTTTCATAAATACCTAACAAAAATTTAGTTTTGTTAAGTATATATGTATTGAGTTTTGGAATACATATCCTCACGTATTCTGTAAGGCTATATTGCATAATAATAATATTTTAGATGTGTATATATAAAATATATAAGGTATAAAAAGTTAATTAATTATTGGTAAATATATGAATTTATATGTTATACAAAATTTAAATCTCAAATGTATTTTATCTATTAATTCAAATAAAATATTATAAAAAATTATTATGATAAAAATTATTTTTAATTTAATTTACTCCATATTTAATATTAATAATCTAGCACTTTATCTTGCTATACTGACTAATTAGTAATAATCTTAAATAGATTTTTAATTATACAAACTAATCTATATACCAATGAGATATAAATTAATTTATTATATTAAACGATAATACGTCATACTAATAATGTTATTATTTGTTTCAAAAAATAATATTATTATTTGAATTAAAATAATAATTAAAAAAATGAAAATCGATTTGTGTGAGACAACCAAAAATCTATTTCTAAGTGAAGGAAAAAAAAAGCTTTTATTTTACTTTTAGACGGTAAACCACAATGGCGGGAAACACGAAAATGCAACACAGCTCCAAAAAGAGGGGGAAAAAACATTAAATTCTAAAGGGCGAACTAAACTCCATGATTGTTCACAATCAATTTCTTTATCTCTTGCTGCTGGTAAATAATGGACAAATATTTGACTCCTTCCAAACCCTATACTGAAAATCCAAGCCAAGGTAATGATCACTTCCTTATTTTTGTGTCGATCTCATTTTCTATTGCTCTGAATTTTTAATACTGGGTGAATTTCAAAATGTTCGTTCAAATCCAAAGGGCGCGTTCATGGCGAAGAAGCGAGGTCGAACTGAATGGAAAATTTGACCCCAAATACCGCCACAGCCTCTCTTCTCTTCTCATGCACTCTTATTCCGAGGTCTTTCAAATCCTCTTCTTCTAAATTGTTTAAGCTTTTTTTTATGGTTGGTTTGGTCAATTACTGATATTTGCTTTTATGACGACTTAGATTGGTGCGTTTCCGCATTTTTATCACATTGATGAAAAGCCATGTCAAACCCATGTATGCGCCAAATTGGTTTGTGATGATTATTCCGTTCAATTACGCTGTTTAATTTGCTGGATTATGACCTCTAAACGTCTGTTTCTAGATGAATCGGATTAACAGTGCTGTGAATTTGGGTCATCAGCTTCCGTTCAGAATGTTTGTGCTTCTTACCTCTCTTTTTTTTCTCCCCTATTTTCCAGCGAAGATACACGTATATTTATGGTTTTTGTAATTGGTATCACATGTTTATTTATTTATTTTCAGTTTAAGTCGATTGTTTTGCTTTTCATATTTTGCTTTGGAAAATGCTTTATACTAACTTTTCAAAAAGTGAAATGCATAAATGCTATTATGATAAGGATTTTTATTCACAACCATAACTTCGTGTAGAGTCATTCATGGAACATAATCGATCTGGTAGACACAAGTAGCAACTAAGAAAATATCTGGGAAATATCAGAAATAACGATACCGATGAATTAGGCCTCAAGCTTTCTTTTTTCTCTTGATGTTTATAAAGTTCTATTGTTATCCATTTTTAGTAGAAGACAATGATTGACCTGTATAACAAAATATAATCAGTTTTGAGCAAATAATGTCATAAAGCATATGCTATAGATAGGTAGAATCTCATCTTTGACTGAATAAAGTTTTAGATGTATGAACAATGGCATAGTATTTCAAATCCCATTCTTTGCTTGGGCTTGAGTTTTAAAGTGCAATTCTTTCTCTTTGATTGGAGGTATTTGCTAGATAATTCAATCTAATTTTAGTTTCTAGAATGTCATTTATTTTAGTCCAGAATGAAGAATTGATGATAATTTTATTTGGCCTTTCTTTACTAGGTTTAATTTCTTCTACAATTACTGGTTATTACAAGTCATATTCTTGAAAATTAAATTCACCTAATCAGTTAATCATCCTTTTGTTTTAACATTCAACTCTGCATTTTCAAGACATGGGAATTGTTGGTGGTGAAGCTTTTTGATATCCTGTCTCAAATTTCAATTTATTCATGCATTTTGTTTCATTTCGAAAGACAGCTTACTATGATTCTTTATCAGGCAAGGAATATCTGCAGTTGACTTTGACAACAAGGTGAAGCCTCACAATACAAATAACAAAATTATAGCTTGCAGTGCCTTCTGATGATAAGTTTGCCCTGTTAGCATTGTTTCTTGATCGTCTTTTGGTTTATTCATATTTCTTGTAAAGATTGTATATAAAGAAAGACACACACACATATGATTTCGATGATTAAGAATGAAATATTTTGGAGTACAATCAAACTTGAAGTAATGGGCCGATTTATGCTGTTTAAAATTTGGTTCGTAAACATGTTTAGAACTTATCAAGCCATATTTTGAGGCAAAACTTTGAGTTTATTAAAACCCAACATTTCAAGGTAATATTCATTGACCATTTTCTTTCGGGCACGTTTCATTTGAGTTACAGATGGGGAGTAGCTGTCTTCCATCCCATGAATAGCACCCTCCCCACTGCAAGGTTCAAACTTGTGATCTCCATTTTGAAAATTCAAGTTCTAATTATCGGGGTGTCCAATTGGAGACAAACAGAAGTGGCCAAATTATTACATGTTTGCAAATAATTTTAATCTGTAAACTGCATTTTAGGGACTTGGTGTGTGTAGAATTGGTGTTTGTTGTGGATTGTTGTGTCCATTGGTTCATGTGATATCTGTGAGTAGAAACTTCTTTCAAGTGTTTGCACTGATCAAGGCTTGTAATTTGGATTGTGGCTTTAGGAGTTTTGTGTTATTTGCGTGTGCAATGCCTACCACCTAACTACTAAATAAGTAATTGAATTTATGTTTTACGTCCTATGTGGCATTTTTGTGGCAACGAGTTAATTATTAATGAGAGATGCTTGATATTTTCTTAATATCATTCTCTTATCTCATCTTTTCCTTTGCACTGCATTTTACTGTTGTTGTCCTTTCTCTTCTCTCCCCAACTTCCCTTGATATTTTAAGCGATAAATGTCTACAGGGAATATACTTGGTTTCTGTGACAAAATCAGGGTGCTTAACTGTTCACGACTTTGAGACTCTATATTGCCAGAGTACCGGCTCCTTGCCACGTAAGTTGATCAACTTGTTTTCCACCTTTCCCCTTTCCTAACTAATCCACATTCTGTCATGAATTGTGTACTTTTGTGACAATTTCCTGACATTTTCGGTACATGCAAGTTACATGTGTAGAAAATGTAAACAAAATTCCAGCATTTAACAGTGATTTTGTGCATTAAGGAGAAAGACATTTGGAAAAGATTGTTCATTTGGCGTGCCTCTTTAAACATGGGGCCTCTATTCCTAGGTCTATAATGCTAAGTGTTCAACTATATATCCAAAAATTTGGTTTGATGTGCACCTTTTTGCATAATATTGCATAAGGGTACACTTATGAGAGAGTGGAGTACAAGTACAACATGCTTAATCTGTAGTGTCCAGTAGTTGCTGATTTGTTGGTTATGTACTGCCATCCACTGTTTTGGTTTAGGAGTCAATTTTCTATGATGTGAATGTCACCTGAGCCATCATATTTTGTTTGGCTGTACTGTCTTACCATCCTGAAATTAGTTTAGGATTCAGGATGTTGTTTAAATCAGCAACTTGACTCATCACCCACTTGGATGGACTGTTTACGGTCTTTACTCATTTTTGCTGCCCTATGCATACGTATTTATGTCCTCATAGGTTTCTTGGGGGTGTAGTAAAAGGCTGTATTGCACCTCTAATGTATTTTGCATGATATTATCGACATCTACAATGGTCATGCTTAGTTGATTAAGTTTTTGTTTTACCTGGATAATTATTCCCACTTCATCTTAATCTTAAACTCGAACCAAGGATGATGATAAACTTGGTGGACCTAAAGAGTTGCTTAACTTAATCACTACAAAATCTCTTTTTGCCTTGAATTTCAAGTAAAATGTATACCCCCAAAAAAAAAAAAAATCCGGACACTTTTGAAGTGTGAATATGTTTTACTCTTTTTATTTCTGATTTTTTATCTGGACTCATACAAGCGTTCATCTACGCTAAATTCCTAACCATCCACCTTACTT